TGAAAAATATGTGTTAACTTATGTGGGAATTTGATAAGCAATATAATTMATATCCATGTCCTCGCAGTTTTAAATGCCCATAAAGGTCTCCATCATAACATTAAAAACATAATGATAAATAATACAGATTGCAATATCAATAATTATTGCATGCTAATGCTAAGATATGGAAGATTGATGGATATCTCTCAGCCAATCACAAACAAGTAACCAACATTTGGTTGGTGGGGKAAGTTGAGTCCAAAGTACAACCTACCTTAAATTTTTTGAAGAGTCTGRGAATTCACTTGGTACAATGCTAAGAAATTTAAAAATGGTCTTAAAGACAGTAGCAGTTGAATCATTTTTAATCGGAATTGCGTGCAATTCAGCCATGTGCTCGGCTATCAACTTTGTGATATGATTATCACAGATCGTCACGCAATCCAGMACTTCTCCTTCAACAAATCCATAAGCTATTCCATTATTGAAAGTTGCAAAGACTGGCGGACCGTAGCCCTTGGAATAAAGCAATTTAAAAGTTTCTAGTTCCATTTTACGGTCAATAAATAGTTCAGTCTTGTTGCCATACAAGCGAAACAAGTGGAGATCTTTGCGAGGTGAACCTTTCTTCCGACAGCCCACTAACTTATTGCTAATTCCTTCATTAAACTCCACAAATTCAAGCTCTTCTGAGTCAATTTCTGGTTTGATTTTTTGCATTAAACTTCTGATTCCTTTCTCAGGTTTATCTTTGTCCAATGCGACTTGAAAATGTGGAATATCCATGTTATAAGCGGCAAATGACCCGAAACATATGGAACTCCACGGTTGTCCGGTAAAAAACTCGGGAAGTAGTCGGGACAAAGACAAGTCGAAAACTTTCCGAAAATGTTCGGGTTCTGCTCGCGTACAGATCGTTTTTAATCGTACTGACAAAAATAAAATACCAAAAATATGCTGTGAATTTGAAAATTAACGACACAAAACCGGAGTGTTGTAAATTTAAACTGTCTTTCTTTAGGAAATTTTGATAAAGTAGGCAGAGAAGCCCGGGAAGGCTGTTGAAATTATTTTCATAAAATACAGGAAGCCCAAAATGTATTATGAATCATGATAAACTTTAATAATATCTTGATGAAAATGCAACAGAAAAAAATATTTGAGAAGGGGACTACCACAAAATATATTTTTTTTTAAGCGAATAATAGCTCTGTTTACTGCAAGACAAATAGGCGCAAAAAAAACCGACCACGCCAGGACTCGAACCTGGAATCCCCTGATTCGTAGTCAGATGCCTTATCCATTGGGCCACGCGGCCGACCACGTAAATGTTACAAGAAAATATTATATTTATTGTCAAAATATATGCAGGTTTGTTTGATACAACTTGGAGAAAGTACCTGTGTTGTAATATAAAATAAAAGCATTGGTGGGTACCCTGTGCTTTCCGACTTGCAAATTCAAATTTGCCATGATAATAACAGACAAAGTTCTTCAATTGTTCTTCTTGTTCTTCTTGTTCTTCTTGTTCTTCTTGTTCTTCTTGTTCTTCTCGTCCTTCTCGTTCTTCTTGTTCTTCTTGTTCTTCTTGTTCTTCTTGTTCTTCTTGTTCTTCTTGTTCTTCTTGTTCTCGTTCTTCTTCTTGTTCTTCTTGTTCTCGTTCTTCTTCTTGTTCTTCTTGTTCTTCTTGTTCTTCTTGTTCTTCTTGTTCTTCTTCTTCTTCTTCTTGTTCTTCTTCTTGTTCTTCTTCCTACTAACAAACCAGTATCTTAGTACCTTAAAATCACTATCTGTTATTTAACTAAGCATTTAAATCTATTTAAACCAAGTCAAATTTATAGGTTAATAGGATGCGGTCGACCCCCTGGAGCGATAGCAAAGTTCCGCCTCGTGTTTTGTTGTATAGAGGGTCGGGGAGTTGATATGTAGTCTCTGTGGGGGTTAGCGTTAGGAATACAAAAGAAAATTGTTTAATAGTTTTATTAATGACTTTATATAGCCGCCCATATCGTCTGGTCAACAATGGCGTGCGCCAGTTCCGGCCCCAATCGAAGTCTAAACGTTAAAATATACTTTTTCTTTTATACTTACTTCTTTTGAAAACCCCCCCCCCAAAAAAAATGAAGCTTATGATTTAATGCCATTGGCACATCAATCTCCAATGGGTTCACTTGTGTAACTGTTTTGCGTAAAACGAACAAGCCGCGGAATTGGGATCAATCAGTTATCAAATTAGATTTCTTTGAAGATAAAAAACGGACAGATATGACATGAGTTTTAGTACATCTTGGGGATTTTCACGGATCTTTTTGGATCAATGAACAAAATYACCTTATGCTAAAAACAACTATACCTCGTCGCCCTAGCTAAAGTTACAATTGCAGCCATACAGTACAGTTGAGTGGGGGGAAGGGGGGAGGGAAGGGGAAGAAGCAGTAGAACTGAACAAGAGGTATTTTGAAAAACAAGTGACTCAAGCCCTGCTGCCTCACCCGCGAAGAAGCAAACTAAAAAAAAGTATATTCGACAAATACGAGAAAAACTTCACCTTGTTGCACATAATTGTTGCTGTTAATAAACGGTGGAGTCAATGTTTTTTACTTTTTTGCCTAAGTACTGGCAGGCAACTTGTCAAGCAAMARCAACARCAAAACACGAAGAACGAGAAACACTTACGATAACCTTGAAAAGAAACAATTGAGCGACAAGTTGTGATTTTTGTATCTCGTATTTCAGGACGTTACTTCGACTTGTTTTATTCGGCGCCTCTTGTCATCTAAGCGTTGACTATCCCCTCAGAAAAAGATAACGTTTTGAACTTCATCAAATAATCAGATCATTGGATACAATCAATACCATAATGCACTTGGCACAGACAAACATGGCGTCATTKGTGCAAATTACCATTAGTTAACTGAAGGTTTTACGTCATGTACCGTWTACGCAATGCATTGTAGGATATGTTTGTGACAGAACATGGCGGATTTCTTTTGTTTTCTCTTGAAACTGATCCCACAATGCATTGAAAATCTAGAAGTGACGTAAAAGGGTCAAAAGTCTATTAGAAATATAGTTTCAACTAAAGCAAATGTGCAGCGACGCCATTTTGTACAGCAAAGCATAATGGGAAATGTCGTGTTTGCCACTCTTTTAATATAAAATCAACATGCATTTTTGTTTTCTTTACAGAGTCTTAGCAAAAATCTAAACTTGCATTTTAGCAACGAGCCTGTGAGACATTTTAAAAATGGCACAAAAAAGCCGCGAGGAATATTTCCCGTCATGCCATGTAATACAAAATGGCGTCTTTTCGAAAAACGTGCATTACGTGTCTCAAGACTGGTGGGGTCCTATTTTTACGTTTCTCAAGATTAGTATTGTTTTTACTTGCGAGGTTTCTTGCAGGGCACTCGGCAGGGCTCGTGTACTTTCGCACATAACATAAAATGCCAAATACCATTGTGACATCGATCGCAAAGATTAGAGAATCAGAAATGTCAGTGCTATAAAAAGACGACATTCAATTTTTTGTTTGCAAATTTTGTTTGCTAGTTGTCGATTTTTAAAATTAAGTAAAGATGTTAAATAAAGTGCAATTGTAAAAGTACAAACATACATTGTATGTATCATAATTTCTGCATATTGCTGTTAATAAAATAAAAGATTGGAGAACGTAATATTACACTCCTTTTCGACAATTATGGGATATCATTGCTGATATTTTTTTGAAGTTGGCTAGCACTAGTATTTTTTTAAAAAATAGGTATTAGCAATGATATCCCATAATTTCTGATATATTTTATATACACTTGAAATACACTTGAGTCAAAAAGATCTGATAATTTCTTCATATTGCTGTATTAATTAACAGTGAAGAGAAGTTGTATATAAGGAATTTTTTCTATATCTTTATCATTGTAGAATTTAATTATTTAATAGCCATGTAACTGTGTAACTGACGACTTAAATAATGACCGTCACTAATTAGTATATTCAATCATTAAAAAGTAAAAACACTGASATGATTTCTGAAAGTTTTCAGGGAAATATTAAACCTTCTTGAATTTATAAGTGTTATAAATCAGAATGACAAAAAAAAAAACAAAACAAAACAAAAAACAAAACAAAGTACAAAACAAAACAAGAAACGAGGCTACTAAGAGCTCAGCAAGGCCTCACTGAGCACCCCGAGAATTTCATATACAATTCTTTGTATCTTTATTTCTACACTATAACATTGCTTCTATTTTGTCCATAGCTTCATGAAACCTTTCCACAAATACCTATTTCTAATAGTTCTTCTATATGACACTAGTGCTGAATGTTTCCATAATATTTTCAGTTGTACAAAATGGTATAGGCACTTCTTATGGAAGTAGTCTATCAGCCGTTTGGCTGTCGTGCATCTTTTAATATCTATCTATCTATCTGAAAAAATGCAAAAGAAATCTAAACTTTCATTATCTCGGATCTAACTATATTTATGAAAACAGATTCATTGGGCTGCTCACAGCTAATTCAATCGATWTATCGGATAATCAGTTATAAATCATAATAATGATGATCTTATAAATAACAAAAAACACAAATAACAGCGATAAAACTAAACACAAATCATAATACAACTGACCATAGACCCCCAGTAAAACGGACACATTACATTAACGTACACCTTTGCATAACAACCGGTCGTTTTAAATCCATATGTTCTCCTGCAATGAAAACAAAAAAAATTTCTATCCTTCGATCAGAAAAATAACTTTAATCCTTAAGAAGCTCATGACAAACAACCCCCTGTGTGGTCCCCTGGGGTTCTTTGTACCTATCTTTGGACTGTCAATCGAAAGAGTTGTGCTTTTGCCAAATGTAAGCTTTGATGATAAATGACTCTTCTATGTGTAGGTAAAACTCGTTTGTTGATTGGACGAGCTTCGACCTCCCGCCTTCGTTAATAATACCGAATGTTAGTTCAAGCTCTGAGGCGGTCGAACTTATCAGCCTCCCAGAGAGATAATATATTCATATTCRCTGCCACAACGCGAAAAAAACGACAGAATACTTAAGAAAACAGTCGAAAAACGATTTAGAGCCACTGAAAGATCAAATTCAGTTATTAAGAGAAACGTTTTTTACGTGGAAGTACGTCACAAATGCTTGATTTAGAAAACATTTTGACCGAAACTTTCAAGGCTTAAATTCAGACAGCATGTCATCAAGTTTCACGGAAAAGCGAAGAGTTGAATTACATTAGCAATTGCTGTGAGAATTTGTTTTTGTTTTAAGTAGAGAAACATAGCAAAAACTCTTCGAGTTATAATGTTAACTTGGTATAAACCGTCTAGATCGATATASCTTAAAAATAACTGAGTTTTTTACAGAATTTTGAAGTGTTTTGTAACCTTTTGCTATATTATTTAATAAAATATAGATTTAAATATGAAAAGAGATTTTCAAGTAAAAGGGTTTCGTTAAGGCGAAAAATGTCTTATTAGGAGTATAAGAACCATTATGCTTTGAAAGCAGTTCATTAATTTTGCAATTCCTTTCACGAATGACTTGCTTTCTTCAGTTTTTCAAATAAAAATATACATACATTACATTCGTAGAGATCAAAAACTTTTATCATAAAACTGAAGTTTATTATCTTTCATCTCAACTCGATATTTTTAAGTTAGAGTTACGAGTTAACACATTGCAGTTCAAAAGAAATCGAATGATCGTGTGGAAAAAGTTACTGAGCATTAAAGACCGTTTACTTCAAAAACAGCCTTTTTTTCTTCGAGTTTTCACCTTAGCCTAACAAACCTGAAAGATAATTTCTTACGAAAGTAGAAGTTGGGCCAAAATTCAACAAAGATCCTTTAAAAGTCTTGCTATTTCTGATGAGCTCTACCTCCATGCGCTACAACTGAGAAATCAGTGCAACGCTACAGCCCCCATTCAACAACGTGCATTTTCAAACCTCGATATTGTTACTTTATAAACTGACTTTATCAAATTTATTCACATTTTAAGTGTTCATAACTTTAAAGCTTTCAATTTTTCTATTTACAATTTTAATAAATAAACTTAGTTTATTTTAATCTGGTTTTATATCTTAGACGCGGGCATTCTTCACCGTCTCAAGTCAACCTCTCTCTAGACTTGGTCAACTTCTAAAATTCTTTCATTTGAAAATCACTAACTGCAATTTAAAGAAGTCTATTTGAATAAAATATCTCGAAGGGAATTGCTATTTTAATAAAGAGGTCAAAAAGCTCTTTAGCTTGCTTTGTTCAATGTGTTTTACTGATTTATGTGTCCCACCCAAAACCGATTCGCGCCCTTCTTGACGCCCTAATTTGAAATCACATCGATCTCTCACTAAAAACGAATAAGCCGAAATAAGTTCTACATTTTCCAATTTCTCTCATTGAACTATCTAAATTAAATTTCTTGAACATAAACTAAGAATTTCTCAATCGAACAGGGAAGTATTTTTTGTCTGCTATTTGATTCGTGTTTTCATTACTGCAAACATATTGATGTYTGCGGATGAAACATTACATCGAAATGTTATTGAAAGTAAAAACTAATCTTTTGTAGAATTAGCTTCAAAATGAGCACCTAAATGTCATTATTAAGTAGTTAAAAACTCGAAACATTCAAAGAAATCTCTTCCTTCGTCAAAGACATTTAGTCAGGTTCAACGTACAAAGGACCAGCAAGACGACTCATCCTTGCGGGACAAGTCTACACATGGACGTCAAATATTATCTTTTCTTCACTAAATATCGATTCGTCTCTCATCGTGGAACGTTCTAGTACTGCTACAAGGCTTAACACCATGTATTTTCATGTGTTTACGAAGAGAGCTAGGATGAGTGTAGCTTTTTTCGCAACCTGCAAATCTACAAGAGTACGGCTTTTCAAGCGTGTGTACATGGATGTGTTTTCGTCTATCGCTTGAGTTCGCGAACCTTTTTTCACATCCTTTAAATTCACACGCAAAAGGCCGCTCGCCTGTGTGAGTTCGTATGTGAATCTTCAAGTTTTCCGCGCGGGCGAAGCTTTTCCCGCATCCCTGAACGGAGCACGTAAAAGGCTTTTCTCCAGTATGAACTCTTATGTGGTTGATCAACTTGTACTTTGCTTTGAAGGGAAGTCCATTCCTTGGACAATCTTTCCAACTGCATACAAAGCCAGTAATGGATCCATTAACTAAATGTATATCAGTGATATGTGAGACTAGGTCTTCAACACGGTAGAATATTCGTCCACACAACTCGCTCATGTGTTGGTTGGTTATTATCCAACTGCATGTAAGAACCACGTCCTCTGAGTCAACTGACGCGCTCCCCCCTTTGCCGTAAATCTCAGGGGAGCGACGCAAAAATGTCTCTTCTCTTCCTATACTAATAAGACTTTGTTTCGAGAAAAGGGAGCCTGGATAAACCATTGAAACAGACGAAGATATAGCATCGGGACTGCGGGCCTTTCTGTACAWGTYCTCATGCTCAGGACGATCTGCTAGACTTAAGTCAGGCCTTGTTATAACACTTTGTGCTTTAGATATTTTCGGATAAGTTTCCTTGTCATGTTTTTGAAACACAACATTAATTCCGTTCTGTGTATTGGTGGGAATACTTGGGATAAGATAYCGTTGTTCTGAGAAATTTTCTCGATGATGYACTGTACTCACTGGTAGTCCTATAGGACTAGAAATATCACGAGGACTTTCTGTATTGGCCACTTGCGTCAAATTGCTCTTGCATATATCGTTATCATTATCTGAATATTCACTATCTGACGACAAACGCTCTGTTCTTGAGCCTAGCAACTCTGGTCTATAAGCAGGAAAAGAAATATAGCTGCTTTCAGCATTACTCGTGTTTGTATGCACTGTAGTAGTATCAATGCGTTGTTCCCGTGACCGAATCTCTCTTTCAATCCACGACTTGGATTCGTTGACCTTTTGAGAGCTTACGTCGTTAGTAAAATACTTCTGAGTGCGTTCGCTGGGAAGAAGCGTCTCAGTAGAAGTCAAATCTAGAAATCCGTGTTCATCACTAGACCTTGTAGAGGTTCTATAAGACATCTGAGAAGTTGCGCCGGATAGACGTGCATTTTGAATTGTGCTTGACTCAGTCATTGGCTCTGTTTTGACAAGAATATGTGAAAACCTCTCAAACTCCATTTCAATCTAGTGTTCATTTGAATCTAACCAAGATGGATCCAGCATAAAAACCTACCCAAGTTCCATCAATGAAAGTCGACCCCGGCCGTAAATAGAAGAGCATTGTGTTTGTGTCTGAATACATTTATTTCTATCCGCGTAGCGCCGGCGTTACTGAAGTGCTTGTGCCTACTGCGCATGCACGCGTTGTTTGTGAGCATGCGTAGTGGGTTGTCGCGGTGGGTACAGCATTGATGGCAGTGTTTCGAGCTAGTGGCACTGTTCAACACCCTGTGGTGCTGTTTCAATATGACCTGATGAAGCAATCAAATTTGCATCCTCACAATCTCTCTCACAGTGCGTTTTCTCAGCAAGTTGTCTACTCTCTCACACGACCATCTGCACTTGAGAGCAGTTTAAATCCGATTGCTCTCGAGSCCTCTCGAAAAAAAMCCGAATATTTCAACTGAAAGAACAGACTGTCAAACCCTTTCTTTAACCATGACAGCGAAAGCACTTCATTTCAGCAAGGAAAACAACAGTTTTTTTCTCTCCCTGCGTTGTCAAAAGCTTTCTTTTAGACGTATTTTACCGAGTCTATTGTCCAAGGTGATATCATCCAACCCTTGTATTCAATTTTTCGAAACTTAACGACTTAAAACCATATCTTTTCCTTTGTGAAATGCGAAAAATGCTTGATTTTGAAATTCAATGCTTTGGTCCCCTGCATCGCTGTTCACCCGATGATATGAAGAGAAGACGATTCCATCGACCCCCCAAGAGAGGGGACTTAGCCATTATCAACATATAAATACACCAGGTTGATTGCTAGGGAAGATGACGTGCTTGTCAAACAAACTCATTTAGGGGCCAAATGCATCGAGACCAATTTAAACCAGCGACGAATTCGAACACAAATTATTTTTATAGCTTTTTAGAAGGCAACAAATGGCTTTTGTGTTTTAAAACTGATATGTTTTAGGCGGGAAAAGTTTGGTTGAAGATCGCGTGAGCGGGTCTTTTCGGAACCCCGCCAACTAAGAGGTGTCCAGTTGTTTTAGTGGAAGACGGACTAGGGAGATCCGCTTTCTGTCGAATGCATTGAGGAAATGTTCTGGAAAGAATTTATTAAATCACTCCATTCAAACATGAAACGTTACATAAAGGTGGTATATAAAAAGTTTTTGTCATTATTTATTTAGTTTAGTTGTTTTTTTATGTTTAATACTATAATTTTTGAGTTTTATTAAATTTATTATTGATCCAAATAACTCGTGTAACATTGTACAATGCATGAAAAATCGCATGAAGGAGATATACGAGCCTTTTGCTCTACAATTTTTGGCGGTATTTTGTATGATAATTTTTTCCTTRATTTATTAAATCGATTCATACAACTCGTGTAGCATTGTGTAAATACGATGTTAAATTTAAGGGTCTTAATCTAGCATGAAAATTAAAAGGCTTTTTCAAATTATTTCAGTATTTTTTATTCTTTTTTTCATTTTCCTAATTCATATTTAAATCGATCTGCACTACCACATCATTGTATTTGGTATAGACTCCCTAAGTTACAATATGATCTTTTTAAAGCCGATTTATCATTTCTTAATGTTTTTTTTTGGGCTGATGTATATATTTTTTATTCTTATTTTATAGTATTATGTCCGTATTCCTTCTTTGTGTCTTGTTCGTATTCCTTTGAACTCATTTAATTTCTTTAAATTCTAKTTTTTATTTTTTATTTATTATTTTCCTTTTTGGCTGATGTATATATTTTTTATTCTTATTTTATAGTATATGTCCATATTCCTTCTTTGTGTCTTGTTCGTATTCCTTTGAACTCRTTTAATTTCTTTAAATTCTAGTTTTTATTTTTTATTTWTTATTTTCCTTTTTCACAAAGTTTTTGTTCTTTGTTTGCTTTCATCTTAATGTCACGTATTATCTTTCCTTTCTTCATCCTACTATCAAAAAAAATGTTTGCTGAATGTTTATTGATTAATTTTTCTTCTTCAAAAATTCTTAAATTTCATCCAAAGCAATTCTTTTTCGCCCGTTAAAACTATAAAGATCTATTTTATTCACTTCTCCTCTTAATTGAGAGAATTTGTGCTAGCATTTCGTATCAGTTGTTTGTTTTACTGCATTTTATACTAATTATTTAATCATATCCACATCTATGTACGTTTAGCACACAACTCGAATTATCATTTCCGCATTTGCTTATTATTTTATAAATACGAATTATTTCACGTTTAAAATAATATCTCAGTACTAAAACTTACTGTTTATTTTTTCCCTTTTCGTTTTTTCTACTGTTTCACATTAAAATTTCATCAAGTAAATTGTCGACGTACTTTGCGGAGTTTGACGTATTTTTTCTTTTGCCTTTTTTCTTGTGTGTAAAGGCTTTAACATCAACTGATAAGAATTAGCCACAAACAGACAACGCTGTCGCGCTCTGCTGTGCGGGAGCCAAGTTGATTTTGACCCCACTTGGTGAATTTTGTCGTAGTTAAGATAGAATTCACGACAGCACATTCTAAATGAAATCTTTATACAGTCCACAGTGTTCTTCCGGAAACCCCCMGTATTCCGAACASCCMYGTATTCCGGACACCCCTGTATTCCGGACACTTCGCTATTACAGACCCCTAAYGCAGATATRACGGGCAACTGGCATAGATTCTTAGATAACCCTGTTTCAAAGAAATTACTGAAAATACCCATTTGCTATGACGGACAGTCGCTATTGCAGACATTTTTATTTAAAAACATTTATTTAATTTTATTTAAAATTTTATTCAATTTTATTTAAAAAATGAACTATTAAAATTAAGTTTAAATCCAAAATTAAAATCATCGTGTCGAGGGTGTCCCTTATAACGAGGGTTGAATGCATTTTGCTCATATTGTCAATCATTTTTAAGAGGTCTTCTTGAATCTTTAAAACGTTGCATCTTACATGTCCCAAACTCAGTGCGAATG